ATCGGTCCGGGCTATTGGCGTTTGAAAAAGTTTATAATCATAGATAAGTAAGTTGGTTTTCCTGGTGAAGGATATAACTTTAGTTTTACTGATGTTGAGTTTCATACAGTTAGCAATGCACCAACCTTGTACAGAGTTAACGTCAGACTGAAGCAGATAGCAGTCATGAGGGGAACTAATGGCTCGGTAAATTTTGACGTCATCAGCAAAAAGCAGACACTTAGAGTAGGCAACTGCATCACACATGTCATTAATAAACACATTGAAGAGAAGGGGTCCCAAGACAGATCCCTGAGGTACACCGGAGAAAACTTATAGCAATTCTGGATACTCAAATCACATATTAAACACGGGACATACATACGGAACAATAACAGATGTAATGGAACTTATAACAACGGGGAAGAAAGGTAGACATTTGAATACACTAGAAAAATACAATATATAATATAAAATAAGCAAGAAGGGCCTGCACATGAATGACATATACATAGATACACACAATTCAATATTTCAAACAATACATGAGATCTATACCAACTAACAGCACACTCCACTCCCCCTCCACACTCAACAACATAAAAACACAGCACACAACACACCAGACAGCAAACGTATTAAAGAAAAGCAGTGGCACGCACAGAGAGCACCTGCACAAAGTAAGTACACATAACAGTATAAAATATATAGGAATAACGTAAGAACATAAGACAGTAACACAAATATTTGTGTATTACATATAACATGCGAGTTGTGCTGAAAGCAAGAGGTAGCCGCTGCAGCACATATAAGCATAGAGCAGGTATCTCTGTGATTTTGATTTTAAATCTAAATTTAAATTTTAAATATTAAAGCTAAATTGAGAATTTAAAAATTTTTAAACCCATCAACATGTGAATATTAATAAAGATTTTAAACATAATTGACAAAACCGACAAGGAGAGCTCTGAAATATCGGGTGCCGATTGATGTCAGAGCAATGAACAATTGTAAATCTGGAGTTTAAATGTTAATACTGAGTGCAGTGTGACAGCTACGTGAAGCGAAATACACCTGATGATGGCCGGTTGTGGCCGAAACATGTAGTGTAAAAGAAGGGGGACAAGAACTACAATAAAGTGTTACATTTATGACAGAGTTTATATTATACATATAGAACTATGAAAAAAGTTAGTATTACAAGTAGTACATCCATTAGACCTCAAAATGAACAAATTGCAGCCAGATGGGTATCCATGACCAAAAATTTCAATATGTGTCAGGTTATCTTACAATTGTCATCATTGATGAATTGAATCCCTAAGCACTATTCTGTCCACTGGAAACATGTTCATACATCATTGCTAAAAAAATTCTGTGTTGTTGCAAGCAGAGAAAACAGATGTTCACAATTCTCTAAAATGCTAATGGTCTTGTCCTCATACCTTATGGCATGCATGTTACACAACCAAAACAAAATGCAGCAGTTATCCACACTGCTGTACAAATTCATATAATAAAAATCAGGTAAGCTTATTAATTCCTTACACTGCATATTATAGACTGTTCTAGGTGTACCAAAAAACTTCTGCCCTTGCAGCTGAACAGTAAGTTGTAGTACAAAGCCTTCTGGAATTTTGATATAGACTATCGTAGAACTAAAAGCATTTTTTTGGCTAAAGGTAATAAAACTTTAATTTCTTAAATTATGGTGTGTAACGTGCCATGAGTTATTCTAAGTCACGTAATTACTGGTGTTCAGCTTTTTGGCTTACTTACATTTTGATGAGTGAAGTGACAATGACTTATATAACAAGTCAAGAGCCATTTTCACACATAGACTGTAGTTCAATCAAGATGTCTGTATCTGACTACAGCCAGAAACTTACTAAAATGATTCCAGTCCTGTGGTAGCTTATTCTTCCAGTCTTCAGGTATCCCTGAACCACCAAAAGCTGGTTTAGCTTCCAGTTCAAACCCACCAACCATGAAGCCACCTTCCCATTCTCGAACATATGTGTGAGAATCATAATCTCTGACACATGGTAGCATGGAATCAAGCTTTGGTTCAAAACAAGAAGTAGTAACATAGAAGTGCTCAGCTGGAATGGCTGGCACTCGAACTCTTGGAGAACATTTTAAACCCAGATCCCGTGCCCACTGGAAGAAAAAATATGTCAGTATAAAAAAACAACAAACAAAATCCATTAATGTGTGGTTTCAGTTTTCAATGATATGATGCATAGAATGTCAAAGATTATCTAATGTTTTGACAAATACTGTAGTTGCCATCTCCAGGGTTAATGTCCTTGGTCAGTTGATCAGCTGGGTAAATTGCTGCTGTCTATCACCTGCACAGTCATTTTTAGTTCCAGGTCTTGCAAGACTCTTGACCTTATTTTTCTGTCTCATAGCTCTGGGAGTCGTGCAACTACTCCCTAATATCTTTGGTGGATTTTGGAAGCTGTTATGTAGGTCTTGCAGTAGGTGATAAGTCGGAGAGCAGTATGTAACTCAATAGGGAGTGACATTTTGGTTCATAAAAATAGGCATTAAGAAAGGTTTTGGCAACCAGGTGGTCTTTAAAAGAGGGTTGTTTAATGAAAAATGGCATGAAAAAGTTTTTTGTGACCAGGTTACAGTGAAAAAGAGGTAATGACAAATGTTTCAGCAACCCTGTGCTTAGGATGAGAGATGAATGAGGAGTTTTTAGCAACTACATAATAAGGAAAAGAGGCAATGAAAAATAAAAACGTTCTGTGTGGTGTATATTTCCAGTAGCTGAAGTCACATATTAAATTCCAGATGCAGAAACCTAATGACAAGAAAGTTCATTACCAACAGATCACTATAGGTCGCTGTGCAAGGGCCAAGAAGGCCCACGCCTTATACAGTCATACCTATACGTTTTAACCAACACAGTGCAGTTGATTTACATATGGATTTAAAAAGAATAAACTATACACATATAAGAGAGTACTATCTTCTGGGTTGTGATAGTGTGTAGTCTGGTAGAAGTTTACCAACATTGCAGAGGAACATACAGCCTTCGCCTTCAGTATCAAAGAGTAAGCCAAGAACACAGCAAGCTGTAGTAATTATCTACCAGGCTACATAGCATCACATCCAAGAGGACAGCACTGTTCACAGTTACTGCCATGAGTATCTCAGACCAAACACATGTGCATATAAGACTGATAAAAGAGCAATAGTTGAGTATGGTGAATGGAGTGAAAAGTTGCATGTAAGGTTTCTTTAAGAAGCAGGGTATTTGAATGCTGAACTGAAGAAAAACATACACAGAAGTAACTTAACTACTGCAACTACCAACTTTGGACCACTGAAATTAAATGTTAAATGAGTGAAAACCACAGATATGTAACAGAAACAGTGTTAGCAGAAGTAAAGACACAACAGACAGACAAGAAATGTGTAACATAATAAAAGAGAAAAAGGAAAAAAGTACAGCAGTGAACTAACTTGTCTTTTAATGAACACCATCACAGAAGGTTGCATATTATTATTTGTTGGTGAATATCAACTAAAGCTTTCAGTACAAATGTTTATAAGTATTAAAAGTAGTTTATTTGCATCCACATTTAGAGTGTAACCCACATTTAATGTTCCTCAATTTAGAGTTCAGTTTCAGTTAGTTCAAGTCAATAACCCCAACGTTCAATTTCCTCCATATTAGATTTTCTGCACTTTAATGTTCAAATTCATTGCTCTCCAAATAAACCTTAAGTGGAGGTTTCATTGTACATGGACAAGGAAAAAAAAAATATTCATTCTGTAATATACTCACAGAATACCATTTCCTTACCATGCCAGCACAGTTGACAAAATACTCGCAGAAAACTGTACCCATGTTGGTCTCCACCCCCTTTACACGGGAATTCTCTGTTAAGACTTGTAGCACTTGACAGTTCTCCACATAACATGCACCTACAGAAAAGATAATTAAAATAAGGGAAAAAACCTCCTAAACTCATATAGTGTCATGTTTATAAAAGATAGCTGGATTGTACATACCTCCTTCTTTAGCAAGTTTTGCTAATGCTTTACATATAGCTTGAGGTTTAGCTACAGCATCCTCAGGTACCCATATTGCACCTTCTAAGTCTTCAGTTTTCAGATATGGATGAAAATTCTTCAGTTCCTTGTTCCCAACAACCTGAGAATTAAACCCTCTTAGTTTAAACTTACATATCTAATTTTTTGTATTCCTAAGTTAGGCATCGTGTTGTGCATATCACTAATCNAGATTGTTAAATAAACCAATTAACCATCTCTACGGCGTCTTCTGTAACGCAACACGTTACAATATTATGCAATATATTTTTTAATTACAACTTTTGTTTTCAATACTGATGTTTATTGAAATGTAATCACATTACATGTGTCAGCCTTTCGACCATCATCAGGTGTTTCTAAATAATAAAACTGTGCCATTAGTTGTTACTAACTGCTTGCACAATGTATTCGCTGCTGTTGGCCTTGTCATGCAAGTACAAACAGCACATATATATATATACACAAGTACACCCTGTATATATATATATATATACAGGGTGTATCACAACTCAACGGCAAAATTTCAGGAACAGACTCCTCATGTAGAGAGAAGGAAAAAAGTTTATGACAACATGGGNCCTCCCAGTGAAAGGCCAACCCACCAATAGAAAGCACTCATGTCACCAATTCCTTTCAGTGGTATGCAAACACAATTACTACTCTGTAATTATATGCATTTCTGGACGCATGTTGTCATATACTTTTTTCTTTTCTCTACATGAGGAGTCTGTTCCTGAAGTTTTGCCGTTGAGTTGTGATACACACTGGATATATATCCACCTCACTGGGACTCAAACTGGTATATATACATATATATAACTAAAATAGTGGGGCACGCGGTAGTGTAGTTTGTTGAAGCACTATGCTACAAGCAGGAAGGTCACTGGTTTGAGTCCTGATGAGGTGGATATATATATATATATATGTATAACTAGAATAGTGGGACATGCAGTAGCATAGTTGGTTGAGGCACTATGCTACAAGCAGAAAGGTCACTGGTTTGAGTCCCTATGAGGTGGATTTTTTCAACTGACCTAATCCTTCCAGCCTCACTATGTCCCTGGGGTCAACTCAGCCTCTAACAGAAATGAGTACCAGGAATCTTCCTGGGGGGGTAAAGGGCCTTACTGCCATCTGTGAGCAGACTGTCTAGATAATGTGGGACCCTTGACGTCCTACAACCCTATGAGTCTTCACGGCCTGTTACAGGTATAGTTTTACCTTTTACCTTATAACTAAAATAGTTATCAACTGGTAAAATTTTGAAATATATTTCATAATTTTTAAGGTTGTCTTATTTAATAATATGGGGCTTGTTATGGGTGAAATAAATTGTGACTGGTTTTCATTTTATAGTGAAATGGATTTTGTATTGGTGTGCCTCATTACAGTCTGTGGTTGTTTATATGCTCTTATTTACTAAGCTATGGTGTTCTCTAGATTTTTCGTTTTATGCTGATGTGAATTTTGTATGGGTGTGCCTTATTATTGTCTGTGATTGTTTATATGGTCTTATTTACTAAGCCATGATGTTCTCTCGATATAGGTGATTATTACATTGTTGCTGTCAATGGACCCATGTTATCTTGCATGGGCAGTTAATTTATATAAAATAAAATAAATAGGTATTATCATGGTGTTCTTGTTGTCAATGGGCCCTTGGTATCTTGCAAGGGCCCACTGACAACAGCAGAATAATAATCAACTACATCTACAGAATATCATAGTTTGTAATATTCATATTTATTTTATATAAATAAACTGCCCATGTAAGGTAACATGGGCCGACTAACAACAACAATGTAATAATCACCTATATCGAGAGAACATCACAGACAATAAGGCATGTCCATACAAAATCCATGTCATCATAAAACGAAAACCAGTTCCAATTTATTCTACCCATAATAACCTCCATATTATTAAAATGTGCTGTTTATAATTGCATGACAAGACCAACAGAAAAGGATCCATTGTGCAAGCAGTTTAGTAACGATTAATGACAATTTTATTATTTAGATGGTCGAAAGAACAAAACATGCAGCATAACAACATTTCAATAAACATCAATATTGAAACCAAAAGTTGGGATTAATTGATATACTGTATATTATACAGTACAGTACACATTTACATATTAGTGTTCCAAAAATTCTGAAAATAATAAAACTGTTAGTGAGTCAAGTGCAGTCCAAGAAAGAAACCAGAGTAATTACATCAAAATACTATCCAAGTAAAAAAGGCTTAACTAACTAGTCACTATCTTGTAATACAGCATCTTCTTGTTCCCATACAAATAAAATCCCCTGCACACATTGCTATTTTAATATATAAGTGTCCTAATTATACTTTTCCAGCTTATGTGAGTATGAAACATACTTCACAATGAAGACCTGTTGCCTGATGATAAGCCATTTGTCGTTTTAAAGCAATCAAGCGATCTTTTGTCTGGGCCAAATTTACACTGCCACACTGCTTAAATCCTGAAAGCATGAAATTAAGAAGTAATGAAAACCAGGGCTCGTGTATCAAAGAACTTCACTATGATCACACATAACATTAAATAATTATTACTGTGAAAGGGAAAATTTGAATTATCATTATACTCATACACAGAATTTGAACCTACCTATATCATAACCCAGTTCTTGTAATCTTCTATACAGTTTGATGCTGTACATTATGAGATTTCTGTCTGCTATTGGTTTGAAAAGACCTAGAGTACCAGAACCAAAATGTGAGGTACCACTTCCAATTCTGAAACATAAAAATTTAAATGTGTTCCAAATTGGCATGATACAACCTATCAATCTAAAATACCTACAACATGAAAACTCTAAATGGTATTACCTTGAAGGTTAGTGATTTTCCACAACGAATATTTGTTATAACAGAAGAATGATTCATGTTTGAATCCATACCTAACACATTATCACATATAAACAAGACAAAATGCAGGAGAAAACCTTTTTATGAAATTCACATCATCCGTCATGCTCTGTATCTTTGAAACTAATAATCATAATAGACAGCATAAATATAAAAAGTTTTCTCTTTAGGAAGAAAAATTCATAATATTTGTTAATTTTGCTGTTACAGGCATAGGTTAGAGTCAAAGTTACACCTTTTCCTTCATAAGTAAATCAATCTGACCATGATGACAATAAATACCCTTATAATGCACAATTCACATTATCTGTTCATCTATCAAGCTGCACATCTTGGAAACTAACAATGATAGTGGATAAGCTTAAATGCATAAGTTGTCCACTTTGGGAAGCAAAACTCAGAAAGTTTGATTTGTTTCATTCTGGCCCGTCACACTAACAATTATAAATTCAAACCACTCCGTCCAGTGTGACATATAAGTTTTTACTATGTTAAAACTTATCTCCCTTACATGTTTCGGTCCTTACAGGCCATCTTCAGAGGGAACATCATTACAAACTGGAAACTACCATCACAATAGGTGTTTGGATTTAAAATACATACACTTATATCCTATAGTGCACAGTACGCTTACAGTCGAACGTTTCACAAAACCCAGCAGCTTCCTGGTGTTGTAAAGTTTTTAAAAGTTTCTAGATGTTATTTCAAAAAACCTTTATTGTCAATAGTTGAAATTTTTTAAACCAAGTAGGTTCGTGTCCATACTCCTATCATCCTTCTTGTATGGGGCAGATTTTGTGCCACCTGTCTATTTAGATGAGGAGGTTCTTGATGTCGTCCAGGGTTTGTTCATGGCTTGCTGTAAGGGAGATAAGTTTTAATGTAGTAAAAACTTATATGTCACATTGGACGGAGTTGTTTGTATTTATAATCAAAACGTTTCTTCACTTTGCTGTCACATACATTGGTTAGAGTCCATGTCATTCCCTTCCCTTCATATATAAAGCACTGAGACCACGATGAGAATGAACACTGTTATAATCACTACACCACCATTTGCTGCATGTTAATTCAATAATAATAGCAGACAACTGACAACAGAGAAAGGTGTTCATTTTTGGCTGGAAAATTAAGAAAAATTGTTCCTTTTCCTAACATATGCTTTATTTTAAGTACAAGTCAGTTTCTTGAGGATGTTCAATAGCGTAGTTGGTTGAGGCACTATGCTACAACCCGGAAAACCGCAAGTTCAATTCCTGATGAAGTCATTGGATTTTCCAATTGACATAATCCTTCCAGACACACTATGCCCCTGGGGTTGACTCAGCCTTTAACAGAAATGAGTACCAGGAATCTTCCTGTGGGTAAAGGGTGGCTAGTGCTTATGGCTGACTACCTCATTGCCATCTGTGAGGAGACTATCTAGAAAATGTGGGAGCCTCAATGTCTCACAACCTTATACGCACTTATAGTTACAGGGACAGCTTTACCTTTACAAGTTAATTTCTCTGCCCCATAAGAAAACTATCTGGCAATGACAACAATGAATACTCTTATAATCACTAAGAAACCATTTAGCTATACAGAATTTTACATAGGCTGCTTTTCCAATTAAGGGTATGGCAGTATGGCTAAGAAAGATGAAACTGTGTTGTCTGATGTTACTATGTATGCCCCAAGAGTATTCGATTTTCTTCCATTAAGATANCAATGAAAATATGTATTGCGATGCAAATGGTAAAATGTTTAACTCTGAAGATGGAGGTGAAAAATTATGAATGATTATGGGGCAATGCTGTAATAATATAGAGTGCATAAAGTTTAAGTTATCATTCTTACTGAGAATACAACAGGAAGCATGGCATTCTGCATCAAATAAATGTGTCACAACAACTCTTCCTGAAATTGCAGTTCAGAAATTTCTGTATATGCAGACTAGTGTAATATAAACCATGGTCCAATTATTCAATGGACTCACAAAGGAAATATCAGTGAATACATCTGCCAGAAAATGGTTGGTACAACCTCACGCAGCTATAAAAAAAAAGTTATTGCTGTATCATCAAATACTGAAAAATAATCTCACTTTTTCTGTTCAAGCACTACGATGTCATTCCACCCATTCTGTACCAGATGATATGCAACAGAATTGGCTACTGTTCCTGCTCCACATATAACAACTTGAGTTTGCTTTGGTAATACTGTTTCATTGCCCATATTAAAATTCGAACACAGTCTTATAATGTGGGTTCTTTCTGTATGTATTTTCAAGTCGGTCTCCTTGTATACGTATCTTCTGAAGCTATTTGATGGCTGCGTACATATTTCCTGATGCTGTACAAACCACGTGGTCTCTCTTGCAGACTTCTTTGCAATTGTTATTAGAGAACACCTGGCGAATATCATATTTGCTGTAATAAAGATAAAAATAAAATATAAGCTAACACTATATCAACGCTAGATCACATTTTATGCACAGCCAAGTCCAGTCTCATACTTCACCTATTTTAAAGAACAAATACCAATAGTATGTGTGAGAACTTAGTTTCCCATTATCTTATTTCTCTAGACTGCTGAGATAATTTCCACATAGTTCACTATGACCATACGCCCCGTATATCTTCAAACAATTAATTTCACTTAAGTACTTCTAATACTGTTTCCATACCATACTACAACAGTATTCCCCAATACAATACTTCCCAAATTCCCAAAACTTGTGGAGGATCGCTCTGAACCGCTCTCAATGACGCTCAATGACAGCTTGACAATAGTAATCAGCTGATTGCACAGGAAGTGCAACTTATGAAATTGAAAATTCTTTCTCTACGTTTTTGAATTGAATTGAATTGAATTTATTTACATTCTATAAATCCTAAGCAGGTTAGTACCTTTGGATACAGAACAAGTCAAAATGTTACATACATAAGTACAGGCAATTTTAGCTTAAAAATTAATATAACTTAATTTTACATCATTCTCTGTTTACATTGAAGTATTCATCTAAAGAGTAGAAGGAATGAGCATGTATATAATTCTTTAAACCTGATTTAAACTTTTTAGTATCATTGCCCAAGTTTTTAATACTTTGTGGCAGATTGTTGAACACTTTTATGCCAGTAAAGTAGACTCCTTTTTGATATACTGATAAAGTTGATGAGGGTAGGTGGAAGT